CACGACCTTGCGCTTGCCAGGCAGGCGCTTTGCCGCTGAGCTAAATCCCCAGCCCCGACAGGACTTTCTTGAGAGTCACCAGGAGACAAAATATCCATTTCATGGAAACAGCTCATTATCTCCATTCAGTGGTCCTGGAAACTAATTTCCCTGGGTGGTGAAGCCCAGCTGGCAGAACACAGCTCCGTTCTAGTGCAAACCCTCTAAGCCTTGGTGATGGAAACGGAAAAGGCAGCTTCAGTTCAACCTCTTCTTCGTGCTCGTGCCTTCCCAAGACCACATTGAAACGGAAGGAAAATCAGGCTGTGGGTGTGGCCCTGGCCATAGAGCAGGTGCTTAGCATGCACAGGTCCTGAGTTTCATCCCCAGCACAAAAACCAACGACCCAGAAAAATAAATACTTGGAAAGACTACAGGATTCTAGGTGGGAGAATGCATAAAGCACATACTGTGTAACATTGAAGTCAATGACTTATACTCGTGTAAAACAAAAAGAGATGAGTTAATCATTAGCCCATCTGTCTTAATTGCCCTGACAGGGAAAGCATCACCAAAGCTGTGATATGGATACCGGGTCAGCAAATAATCTGAGGTCGAATTTCCCCAAGTGGCTGCCTCTGCTAAGGGGTAGCATCAGTGGCTGAGCCAGATTTAAAATCTTTTCCATTGTTACTTTATATCTCATCTGTGTGCAAGCAGAGAACTATAATGCATTAGATTTCTAAGCCATTAGCTGAAGAGAGAGAAGCCAATGATGCAGGGGCACAGGAGTTTTAAAAGTCATTTGTTCATTGTAGACATCCTTTCATTCAACAAAATGTGCCTTAAGAAGCGGGGCTCTACCGCCCCAGGTAACTGAATCTCTGTCCTTAGGGACCTTCTGCCCCATGGGAGCTGCAGACGAGTAAACAGCACAGCAAGGCGGCTGTGTGTTCTGTTAGGGACCCATGCTTAGGTGGGGCTTGGGAACAGCTCAGAAGTTAGCTACTTCTGAAAAACCATAGAAGCCACTGGAGCCTACACCACGGTTTTGGGGTGTGTGATCAAAACTGTCTTGCAGAAAGCTAAGACAGACTTCTGATTTGTTGAAAGTATTTCTACTGCACTTACTTGAAAAATAGACCTCTTGCTGGGCGTGGTGGCTCATGTCTGTAATCCCAGCACTGGGGAAGCTGAGGCAGGAGGATTGTTGTGAGTTCAAGGCCAGCCTGAAGTGTATAATGAAACCCTGTCTCAAAAGACCAAAAAAGAAGAAGAAGAAGAAAGAAAGAAAGAAAGAAAGAAAGAAAGAAAGAAAGAAAGAAAGAAAGAAAGAAAAATAGACCTCTCCATAGCTATGAGAAGAAGAAGAGGAAACAGAAAACTCTCTGCTTGGTGGAACCAAATACAGTGTCAGCTGGGGTTGCGGCAGGGTACACCCCAGAGGTGCACCGTTGGACAGTGTGGCCAAGGCTGACCGCTGGATTCTGCATTGTGGCTGCCCCTCTCACTAGTTCTGTGACTTCAGCACCTCACCCTCCCTGACCCTTGGTTTCCTTAACTGTGAATTGGGCCTAATGAGGGTTGTTACAAAGTGTTTTGAACAGTGTGGGACCCTTAGTAATTGATCAATAAATGTTATCCCTTGAGAAGACTTCATGGGTGTCCCATAAGAAAAGGAGCTCTGTTATTTTTGTTTTGTTTTGAGATAGGGTCTCGCTACATAGTTCAGGCTGATCTTGAATTCACTATATACCCCAGGCTGTCTTCATACTCCTGCATCTCTCCTGCCTCAGCCTCCCAAGCGCTGGGATTACAGGAGTGCTGTTTATGAAATAGTAGTAAAGAATAACCACTTTAGAGCTAGATGTGCTGGCACACATCTTCAATCCCAGCACTCTGGGAGACTGGGACAGGAGGACTGCGTGTCAAGGTCAGCCTGGACTACACGGAGACCCTGTCTCAAACAAACAAACAACTCCAGAGGGCATGGATTTCATTGCTCAGCTTTGATAGGGTCAACACTTTAACTAGGAAATGGATTTGAATCCCAGTCCAGTTCCTGCCACCTACTAGCTGTATGACAGGTCTACTTCCTTAACCCTAGCACACCTTCCTGTTCCGTGAAATCCAGCTGATAAAAGTACCTACCCTACATCTTTTGTATGTGACAATTTAAATGTGTAGTATACTTACAGCTCCTAGAACAGTGCCCAGGAATATCAGTACCATGTAAGTGATAGTCATTATAAAAGCAATTGTTAGTAAGGAACAAAACAAGGAACTGCTCAAATGCACAGTGATGAACACTGAATCAAGACAGCATCTTGGGGCGGGGGATATGGCTCAGTGGCTCAGCGCCTGCCTGGCAAGCTCAAAGTTCTAAGTTTGATTCCTGGTACCAAAAAAATAAAAATAAAATAAAATAAGACAGCATCTTGTCAAGGCAGTTGGCTCTGCAAAGACAGAACACAGCATTCTGTCATTCTGTTTGCTGCTGGATGAATGAATGAAACATGAAATGCTGAACTAGTCTGACGGCACAGGGAAAAGGAAAGCACTCCACACTGACATTGTCTTAGCCCCATTCTAACTGGAGCAGGTGATTCATTTCCCAGGTATGGTTTTCTCATCTTGAAATAAGGAAGTCAATGAAGGGACGTCTCAGGTTCGTTCTGAATCTCAAATTCATTACAGCTACGTATCCTTTGAAATTTGACCAAAGGTAACGTAATTGTGAGTACAGAAGTGTTTTTCACATACCTACTGCATTTCCAAAAAGGATTATCAAGCTCAAGGCAATGTCGTTTGTTTGTGTTTTCTAAGTCCTTATGTAAGAATCCGTGAGCAACGAACAAATCTTTAAATCCATGAAAACAGACTACCTTTAGCAGGATTGATAACTTTTAAACCTCTTGGATTATCAGAATAAAACTGATAAGACATTTTTTTCATTCATCTTAAGTGAATTTTTGGAGACTTTGAAAAATTAAACAAGCCTGGCATGGTGCCATATGCCCATAATGCCAGCATTCTGAGAGGCTGAGGCAGGAGGACGGAAAATTTCAGCTCAGCCTGAGAAACTTCAATTAGACAGACTCTGTCTCAAAAATTTTTTTTTTGTTAAAAAGGGCTGGGGATGTAGCTCAGTGTTTAGGCTTTGGGTTTAATCCATAGTACAGGAAAAAAAAGGATAAATCAACCTATTCTATGCTAAGTCATCATTAACAAACAGAATAAAAGTAGAACTCTCATCTACTTTAGCCGAGCAATTCTCAGCTCAGTGAAATTAAGCTGATTTAGTTGAGCTTTTAAAATGCAAGGCTGTGTAAAAGGCCTAAGTCTGGAGGATTTGGGGTAAGTACCCCGCTCAGCATTGCCTTAGGTCAGAAGACGCCTAGAGGTCCAGGAGCTGCGGGTTGTATCACTGCCTCCACTGCACACTGGACGGGTGCAGAGGGAGGTCTGCTGCTGAGGCTTGGGGTCTTTATGGTTTTGTATATTGGGCAGTGCCATACAGATTTCACTTTGGGAAACAAATCACCCATGGAGAAAAAAAGAAAAAGGAGAGGAGGGAAGGGTTGTTTGAAATCAAAACATCTAGATTAAGACTGCAAGATGTGGCTTTGGGTGGAACATGTTAAATTTTACCCCAGCTACTTTTGAGGTACATGAGCTTGGATCAGTTGTTTAATCTCTCTAAATTGTGTTTAATGCATTTAATAATTGTTCTTAACCTTACAGGCTCATGGTGCGGATAGATCGTACGTGAGAATCCCCTACCCACAGTGCTGGAATCACGGCACTAATAGGTGACAGCTGGAGAACAGCCACCAGGACAGACGTCCGTACTCTCCCCTGCAGCCTCTTAGGCCCCCTTTAGAATGTCTTAGGGGCGCAGGAAGCACCCTTTAAGCCTTTTGCAGTCCAAATTTAGGTCCCACCCTCATTCTTCTTAATGAGCCCTAAAAAACCAAGATCTATTCGTGGATCAGTGTGGACACTGGACAAAGGTTCACCTTGTAAGACCAGCCAGCTTAAAACTGAAATATGCAAAAATGTGTGGAACTTCAATAATAGCATATAGGAAAATGGACTGTTCTTAGGCTTAAACTAAGACTTTATAGTCTATGAATGTATATGTAAAATACATAGAGAAAGTCTTTTTAAAAAAGGCCTGGAAAGTATCAACACCAATATGATAACAGTAACCCCTGGGAAGGGGAGGAGGCTAGGAGAAGAGGTGGAATAAACCGCAGCGTTGTTTTGATGCTTTACGTATTTATTTATGTATCAGTTGTATAATTTGAAAAACAAAAAGCAAACATACAACAACAAAAACGTCAAAATTAAGTCATGGTGCACACTACAATGAACACTTATTTAGAATACATAAAAAAAAAAAAAAACCCAGTGTGGAATAAACCAAAGCATACAAGAATCAAAAAATTCCTCCCTGGGGCTGTCAATGGCTTTGTACAAAATCGTATTCTTTTTGGGTAGCTGTCCTTGAGGAGCAAAGAGAGCAGAGGGCAAGGGGAGCTGCTGATCCTACCTCCAGCAACTGACAGGCCCCGGTGAGAAGGCAGGTGAAGTCACTTGCTGGTTATCTTGAAGCAAACTCTCTCCCTGCAAGGACTCAGATACGCTACCAGTACTGATTTGTTCTTGGCAAAAGTCAAGGTCTTCAGAAGCACTAATTAAAACTACAATGTATTGGTAAGTTATGCTTCTAGGCAAAATGAAACCAGATGGTAAATTAGTATTTCTATAGCATATGTTCATGACAAAGAAAATAAGAGATAACTTTTGAAAAAATCTACATAAACGCCATGTGGTTGATTAAAGGTAACTGACTAAAAGAGTTCTAAACCATGGCCCTTGGAACCTGGCAAGTAACTGCGTGGTAGAATACTGGTATGCCTAAGGCCCTGGGTTCCAATCTCAGAACTAGATAAATAAAATAAAATACCCCTAGTACCATCAAATAAATTAATTAATACGTCCACAGTAGATTGACTATAGAGGCTGAGGCAGGAGCATCACTTGAGCCCAGGCAGTAAGGGATCAGCATGGGCAACACAGCAAGACCCTTTCTCAAAAATAACAGGAAAACTGAATTAATCAAAAGGAGTTGAGAGTGTAAGTACTGAATAAAGAGGTCATGGCATTCTTTTTATGAGCAAAATATTTACGTCTTCTTGGAAATTCACTTTCGCAAAGAAGCTTCTCCCTTGGAAAGAAATATTTTGTCCATAAGAGAACTCTAAACAGCGTGGTGCTGCTGTGTGGAGTTGTACTGACTTCTTGTCATTCAGCTTGCAGACTCTGCTAGTGAGAGACGCCCCTTGCTTGGTACTTGCACTGCACAAGAGTCGGGTTTCTGTTGGTTTCAGTGGACCCATGAACTCCTGGGGAGGTTTTGCTTGACTGGCAGAGCTCAGTCAAGGCGTGTGGGAGCCTCAGCTGGCCCTCTAGCTGGACCGGACATGCTGCATTTCCAGGCTAGGCTCCCTGCTTGCCCTTTTGGTGCAGGGAGGTCATCCCACCCAGCCTGTGATTCAGTGTTCTGCTGGGGAGTTCTGAAAAGCTGTGATTCAGGCAGGGCACCAAAGGGCCCTGAATGAAGGGAAGGAGGAATGAATGGAGAGAACCATTTGGATGAAAGTGCCATGGGGTATTAAAAAGGATGGGGCAGCTGGGTGCTACAGAAAGCGTCCCTTGCTTAAAATACACTCTCTGTAAGCATGTCAGTCACCAGTCCTCCAACAGTCATTCAGTTCTTACCCCCTACTTGGGTACAAATTTGCAAAATTACAGACCACCAGTGTGGCCATTAATGGAGTTTATTGTGAAACACACACAAAAAGAAAAAAAAGTCCATTTACAATCCATACAACGTTATTAACACTCTGAATGGAAGAACAAGCAATTTCAGTAAATATATACACAGCAGCAAACCCCTACATTGTTACTCAAATACACCGGCACTCTCTCTTTAAAAAAATATACTAAGCAAAGGAAAGATGTATTATGCAAAACAGGGGCAACTTGAAACAGGATTCAAACACTGGATTCCATCATTTCTGTGAAAGCTCACTCTGGTCCTTTGCTATTAATACCACAGATGGACACAGCCAGTGATGGGCTGAGTGGGGCTGTGGAGCAAAGCTGCTCCTTCAGACTAATGAAGGTAAGAATGCAGCTCTTGAGAAAGAGCAAAGGAAAGGTATGGGAAAGTTGAATCCTTCAAAGAGAGAAAGAGAGAGAGAGAGAGCAAGAGAGAGAGAGAGAGAGAGATCTTCAATTAACCGGACTCGTTTACTAGCCATAACTGTACTCAGGCCAGTTCAGCTGAAACTACCTGGTAACCTTTGTGGTGGCTCTGACTGAGACATTCCACTCCGGGCTCACACCCTCTCCAAGGCATCTCAGCCCAACCCCCTCTGCCCAGTGCAACTCTTCCTAGCCCCCTCCCCTCCACCGCCCCCAACAGAGTGGAATCCAGGCAAGAGCAGCCCTCACCTTGACCACCGCTACCGGCAGGGCAGCTCTCCTGAAGGGCTGAGCAACAAACCCCAGGCTCACCTCCACAAGCATTCGAAGCATTTCAGAGCAGCCCAGAAAACAAAAGAAGCAAACACAACCTGTCCTTACCCGCTTCTTAAAAAATTGGAAGGCTGAGCATTTCTTGACTGGAAATCCATTCATGTCTTTGTTTACCATTTTCCACAGTGGGGACTTCACGGTTATAGATCCAGGGTGGCACCCGCCCGGCTAGGACATCTGCTTCTCTTTTCTCTCCTTGAGACAGTGAACGAAGACCCGGCGGGATGGAGAACGGAGCGGGGCTCAGTTCTTCACGCGCACATTCTGCAGCACCGGCTACTGCAGCAACCTCTCCTGACTTTCACTTGCCACCGGCAGGAGCTTTTCTCTTTCCATCCTTGCTGCGAAACGCAATCATCACCGCTACAGGGGTGGAGGGCAGGACGCGGCGGGATGCGGGGATCTCCAGGGAGATGCTCTGCCGGCCCGGGCGGGAGAAGGGTCCCCTCCCCGCCCCCAGCTACCTCGCTGCTTCGAGGCCGGGCGGGGAGCGAGGCGCCGCTCCAGGTGATGCGCTTCTGGAGGCTGCTCGAGAAGAGAGCTGTTTTTGATTGTGCAAGTTCCAGTGGGAGCTGTAGTTAAGCAGCCGGGCGAAGGAGTAAGAAAGAACAGAAGCCAGAGGGAGGCAGGGAGGGAGAGCCGCGCCAGAGAGGCAGAGGGAGCGAGAACGCAGCGAGGCTGGAAGAAGCAACGATTCATGCATATCTGATCAGGACCAGGGGATGGACAGAAGGCGCCACGAGCGCAGGACTCGCTGGACAGCAGTTGACTTCCCTGACAGGGCCACTGGAGTCGCGTTCTCTGTTAGAACGTTTAAACCAGAGTTTCATATGAAATGTGGACTCTTTATGCTCATTCAAGTTCTTTTGATACCTGTTCCAAGATAATAGGTTCTCTACAGCAATGCAATCAGATGTATTCCCGACCTGTGCAAAGGTGGAAAGAGCCGAAATCGAGTGCAAACATCGGTGTAACAATGGGAGATCTCTTACTACACAGACTGTTCTCCAGCCTGCTCTCCCACACCGGTCCTACTAAAATGGGCAGTGGGGAAGGTGTTTGTGTCTCTCTTCACTAAAGAACTCCGGTAAAAACAGAAACACATGGACATATACAAAGTATTTTATGCAGAAATCCACAAAGCAGTACCAAAAAGTATTACTGAATCCATTTAATGGAGCAGAAGCTCTAGTAAACAAGAGACCTACTTTTGCTTCCTATCCAGGGAAAATGTATCTCCCAATCTTAATTGTGTTATCCTTTGTACATTAAATTCATGTAAGAAAACCACTTAATGTTGTGATTTATTTTTCCATTTTTTACTCCTTATTGTTGGTATTTTATGGGATTTTAAGAAATAGAGTTCATAGCTAGATGGAGAGAGCAAAGAAAATAAACTTGGCATCTGACGGGCACTGCTGTGACATCACTGTGTGGCTCTCTGCCAGTCACCTGACCTCACTGTGCCCTTCAGATGCTGCCTCATGCTGAAGATGGAGGCAGCCACTCATCCTTTCATTCCCTCCCTCATTCATGCGTTTGGTCACTTGCTTGTTTGCTGTGTCATTCCATTAATCCATCCGATCTCGATGTAGCAGGTGTCCCCAGGATGCGGGGCCTTTTCACAGTCTCCTCCTGGGAATATGATCAGTACATAAGGGAAAGACACAGTGTCACCGTGATGCAACTAAGTCCCCTTGTTAAAAATAACAAGCTTGACGTTGTTAAACTATTTACGTGGCAGGCTTGGGAAAAAAATAGAAACATGCAAGCTATTTGGGGGAAGAGATGCACTGGTTCCATTGAAGCCCAGTGTGAATCTCTACTGTTGGGCCGGATTTGGAGGGAATAACGGTGCAAGCTTGTTTGCTAAATACCTTACGTTTTTCAAAAGGAAAATGCCACACAGCCCAATAGTATGATAACCGAGAGACAAAGAATTATTCTTTTGGAGAGATATATTAAGTTGTCTAAGATGCAAAACAATGTTATTTACAACACTGATAGGTTTTATGGTTCTTCTAGAGTTCACTTGTCTTTTTTTTGTTTTGAAACAGAGTCTCACTATGTAGTTCAGGCCGGGCTTGAGCTCACTTTGTAGCCCAGGCTGCCCTCAGACTCACAGGGATCCTCCTGCCTCTGCCTCCCAAGTGCTGGGATTTCAGGTGTGCATCATTACACCTGGCTAATTCATTTAAAATTGTAGTAGTTCAAAGGGAATTGTTTTGGGATGGTAAAAATGTTCTCTTTCGTGATTATGGTACTGGTTACAAGACTATGCATTGGTCAAAACTCACGAGACTTCATATATGAAAAGGGAAGATTTATGCTGCAGGTAAATTATCCAATGGACCGCATTAAATCAATGGTGCCAGGTGTGGTGGTATGCTCCTGTAATCCCAGCACTTGGGAGGCTGATGCAGGAGGATTGTTGTGAGTTCAAGGCCAGCCTGGGCTACAAAGTGAGCTCAAGGCCACCTGAACTGCATAGTGAAACCCTGTCTCAAAAAGACAAAATAAATAAATAAATAAACAAACAAACAAATAAATAAATAAATAAAAGCAATGGTGATCTGGGCGTGGTGGCACAGGCCTGTGGTCCCTGCACTCTGGGAGGCTGAGCCAGGAGCATCATAAGCCTAGCTTGGGCAACTTAGCCACTTACAGAGATCCTTCAAAATAAAAAATATGAAAGGGCTAGGGATGTACCTCAAAGTGAAGGCCCTGAATTCAACCTCCAGTACCTCCAAAAGAAACCTTCCAACAAACAAAGAGAACAGTGGTACCATTCTAGTTCTTACCCTTCCCCAAAAGTATTCCTAACAAGTTTTTACCGGGTATGTAGGAGTGGCTCACTAAGCAATCTGGTGAGAAGGGGCCCTAGGGTCTTGCTTTGACTCCAGTTTCCCCGGGCATGCGTACTGGTTTTAGATAGACTCTTCATACTTGGGTAAAGAGCAGACAGACTGTGGGGAGGAGGCGCAGACAAAGCTACATACTATCTCTTCCAGCCCCCACCTGCCTTCCTAGCTGTTGCTGCCATTGTCACCTAGTCCATGGTAGAGACTGTGAATATAAAGCTCAGTGGTTTCTGTCACTAAGCAACTCTTAGCCTGGCACAGAATTGCCCATCTATCTCTGTAAAGCTTTAAGTCCACACTGGTTTGGAGGAGGGCACGGGGGAGAACGGAAAGTGGGGAGGCCGTGGTTTTCCTTGAGAGGATGTTTCAGTGCGTAGCCTGGAAAAATTCTAGATGACATCAGAGAGCAGGGATATTGAACAGGTAGAATCACCCTTGATTTCAGACTCTATTCTGGTCAGTGCGATAATAGAGAAGTGTGTTAACTGCATGCTGGGCACTCTGGGAAAATCAAAACACCTTTCACCTCGCCCTGACCTCCATTTTCATAAATCAGGGCCCAGAATGACTACTCTTTACTAAGCATGTCCTTTGACAAGTCATTGTTAATAAGTACGAAAGGCATGTAGGCTATCTCTTGTAATACAAAAGAAAGTAGCCCCTGGATTCTTGCAACATCTGTTTATTGTTGCAATGTAATTAATCAATGTATTTACCTCTTTTGCTCACCAAATATACTTGTTCATTTTTGTACTCCCAATGTGCAGTGGAAGGGGCCGGGATTTAGCTCAGAGGTAGAACGCCTGCCTGGCAAGCTCAAGGTCGTGAGTTCGATTCCTGGTACAGGAAAAAAAAATGTGCAGTGGAAGTGCCTGGGCTGATGAATGGTTTTCAAATGAATTAAATACAAAAAAAAAAAAAGAAAAATTGAAGTTGACATCAGTGACCCTGGCGTGGAACTATTTACAGGGATCATTAAATACCTCTGAGATTCTTAAACCATTATGTTAACTCCCATTATAGTCATGTCCTTGACATTTCTTCCTTTAGCCTCAGTGACATTGTGACCCTGGGATGCTATGCCTTTCATTCCATTTTATGGAAAATCCTAATGTTAGAAGCAATACTTTGAACCTCTATTTGCTTTTTGCAGTTTTGCCCATCCTCCTCCCGCAAATACACACAGACAGGGAGACTGACGACCAGTGTATTCCTGGAGTGGCAAGAATTCTGTGTTGATTTAAAAATCTTATCATTAACTTAATCGTGTAATGTTCAACAAGATCGCTCAACATACTGAGCCTCAATTTTCTCATCTATAAAATAATAATTAAATGTTTTTGTCATTTCCAAATTATATATGTTTCCTGGCCAGCCTGGGCTATAGAATGAGTTCAAAACCAGCCCAAACTATGTAGTGAGACCCTGTCTCAAACAAACAAACAACACACAAATAAACACAAATTATATATGAAAGTGCTTTGCAAAGCAGTAAGCGTATGTTTTTGTAAAGCAAAAGTACTGCTCTAGTACTTTTTAGAATGTCTGTCTTTCCACAGATTAAAGTGGTTTGTGTAACATATTTAGTTGTTGAATGGAATGTGATTTTTTTTTTCTGTAGTACCCTGGAAAACACAAAAGATAATAAACAATAAAATACCTGCTTAGTGACAAATGTTCCTAAGGACAAAGGTATACAAATAGATCATGATGAATGTTTTATATCCTTCTTTGAGCTAGATGATTTTATCATGTGCTTAGAACTCCAGCCCCAAAGGTGGTAATGTACACAATTATAAATTAAGAAACTTCCCAAAGTTTTATGTGTATGTGTGTGTGTGTGTGTGCGTGTGTGTGTGTGCACACGCACACGTGCACTAGGAAACAAGCCCGAGGCCCTAAGCGTTGTAAGCAAATACGCTACCAGCTGAGCTGCATTCCCAGTCCTTCGGGCCTGATTTTGTGCTCTCAAAGGACGAAAGAGTTATCTTTCTCAAAAAAATTGTGGAATTTTTCTTTGGTTTCATCAAATTAGATTTCTTTCATTTAATTCAGACATATATCACAGGAAAGTTACAAAAGGAAAACCGAAACTAACACATCATTTTGTTTTTATTTGTTAATATTTTTTTCTTTGAGAGATCTATAACCCATACCAGAATGAGTAAAATGGTAGAATTTTGCAGAGAAGATTCCAGCAGTGAAATACGAGGCTCATTTTTCTAGGAAAGAGATTCAGTAAGAATTAAAATGATCCAGCTATTATCATTTTAAGCTAAGAGAAATCATATGCAGCTTGCAATCAAATCAGCATTTATATCTATCTTTTTCTTTTATAATTTTTTAAATGCCCCAGGGATCCACTCAGGGCCTTGCATATGCCGGGCAAGCCCTGTACCACTGAATCTCACCCTCTCAAATGTCTTATTCTAATTGGCAGATAGGTCAAGTATTTCCATTGTTATTTGACACTTACCATACACCAAGTATGTGCCAGTTATCACACTTACAAGAAAGAGAACAATGATTGCAGCTACCTACACATGGCTTAGCAAAGCCCATTGAATCACAGCACTTCGTAGCTCCTCAGTTCAGGAGTACCTGTAGCAGCGATTAAAAATGCACGGCATCCCCCCACGCCTCCCCGTTCCTTGTTTTGACCTGGGCCTGCTCCCCCACGCAGGCACCCACACACCTCTCTCTGTTTTTGCTGTCTTTGGTTCTATGATAAAATGGTGCTAAACATGTATATGACATAGTCTCTTCTGTCACAAAAGCATAAAGAAATCTGCTCTTTCTCGTGGCAATGTGACAACATGTAGCCTAAGGGGACAAATCAATTTGCTCGAAGCTTCTCATTTGAATATTAGTGATAATTCATTCAACACCAAAGATAAATTTTGCAGCTCCTCCAGATTTCACAATTTATATGATTATTTCTTATCCCTTGTTTAAATCGTTGAAAGAAGTTAGAACCTGCAAAGATTGTTTACTTGAAGGAAAATGTGTTCCTTTGCACTCCCTTTTGATCTGACCTTCCTTGTTATAGTGATCGCTTGTCTCCTCGCTCAGGTCGTTTTCAAAGACACAGCAAGACTTTATCATCCTGTGAATCTCGCTGATAGAGAGATCTGGAAAACGTTACCAATATGCACACTCGGAGATACAGAGACATATGTACACACCCAGTGGGACTGAAGGTCATTATCATTTGTGAATTGGATGGCCTTCTGTGTGACCTTGAAATAGCAATAGATTCTACAGCCTTTTTTATAAGATGCATTTTTGGGGTATTGTTAATTATTCACTTTTTTTTCTGTCTTTCAGCATTCAGCCTTTGAGATCCAGTTCAAATGATCTCTTAACTGATGGACCCAGAGGTTATATTTTCAATTTAACTTGCCAAAAGGTGTTCATTAGCTACTTTTCTATGTGCAGCACCAATGAACCATGACACGGGAGGGTTGCCCCTGTCAATCTTCCCCTGTGCTGTGTACATGACAGAATAGGCTGTTGTGCTTGGTATTGATTGAAATACTCTCGAGGGTAGTGAGTAGCCAGAGTCGCGTTTTCTCCACTGTGGAGCCATGATCTGTAGTTTTTTCTCTTTGTGTACCACGAAACAGAGCTGAGTCAATTTCTCAGATCATTCAAATCTGTTGAGGCTTACAGAGAAGTGCGAGTGAGGTGGGGGGCAGATAATGTCCAGCGGCAGGAGCCCCTGCAGCAAAGGGACAAAGAACCACCCGGGAACCTCGCATCCTATTATTCGAG